TTTTTTTTATTAATTCGACTAAAAAAAAATTGAGGATGATGATTCCGCCTCTGAAACGATCATGCTTATTGCAAAAAAAAGCCGCGCAATACTAATCTCACCTCGTTCAGAAAACCGTATCGCACGTGTGACATAGAATTGCACTTAATTTTCCTTTTCCAAGTAAAGGCTAAATTAGTGGTGACATATGCCTAGTCATAACCATTACCATAACCGTAGCCACAACTATTATCGATTATATGTAGGTATCATAACCATAAACAGCTGATTTTTCGTAGTCACTAAATTCTTAAAACTCATAGAAAAATATGTATGTATATCAAATTAAAGGTAATAACTTTCTTAATAATATACATTTCTTTTGCATTAGTTATGAACTTTTGTAAAAAAAAATGTTATTTTATGAAAAAATACGAAATTTTTATTCGTTTTTTAGTATTTTTGGATTAAAAATATAAACAAGCATATAAGAAATCATCAGCTTCTCAATCGGTTATATAGTTCATAACATATTTATATTTAAAAAAATTTGCATTGAACCTTTCATATCTTTTTTATATTACTGCGGCAAATAATTTTGGTACAGTTGGAATCAACGCGAGAAGTTCTATATATATAGCCACATTTTCGGTTTTTACACAGCTAAATGGTTATAATTCTACACTTATGCCAAAATGTTGGCTGTGAACAATTTCTTTTTTGAACGTCTGGCAACACGTTTTTACTTCAGATATTAGATGTATTCTAAAAATATTTTTCTGAAATACATTTGTGCTTTTCTGAAATACATTTGCCCTTTTCTGAAATACGTTTGCGTTTTTCTGTAAATAATTTGAACTTTTCTGAAATACAATTGTGTTTCTCTGAATTTCATTTGGCTTTTTCTGAAATACATTTGGCCTTTTCTGAAATACATTTGAGCTTTTCTAAAATACATTCGCCCTTTTCTGAAATACATTTGAGGTTTTCTGAAATACATTTGAGTTTTTCTGAAATTCATTTGGCCTTTTATGAAATTCATTTGGCCTTTTCTGAAATACATTTGTGTTTTTCTGAAATACTGTTGGAAAAGGTGTAAACAGTCTTTAGAAGTTCACTGAGGAAGGTGGTACGCAGAGATTCTTCATTACGAGGGTAAACAAATTTGAAATTATTTGCGACTATGCTTCCACCAAATTAAACGATTTTCTTGTCTGGGTATAAGGGGTAGCTGTAAATATTTCTTCATTTCTATATCGCTCCCTTTTTTTCTTGTACGGTCGCACAGTGGGTCCCCATATAAGCGGCGGCCAAAAGTAGTAACCGTCCTACAAATTCGCTGAAATTTTGTATATGCGCTATTCTGCACTTAAAAATGAAGAAATGTGGAAAATGGTAAATGTCGACGCGCTACCACGCTCACAGCTCTTGTGGACGGAAATAGCATGATAAAAACGTAGTAAGGTAATATCGTTCTCTCAATTCATCGGCCATGATTTTTTTTGAAGTTTGCCAACCTTTATATTCAAAAATTTGTATGAGCTTGAGGCCGTTTTAAGTGAAAACTTATTGTGGAAAAGCAATAATAATTTGAAAAAATGGTAGAAGTGATAGCTATTTCGGAAATCACCACATTTCCTCATCAGACTTCTTTCAGTAGGATTCGAACCGACGATCGCCACTGACTTGCCAACATTTTAAAATAATATAAAATTGAGAGTAAAAAAAGGAATTGTTCAAAGGTGTTGCTGTTTGTGATTGAAAATGAAAATGTGTGCGTGAGTTTGTGTGTAAAATTTTAAAACTAAATTGCTTCCAAACGTCAAGAATTTGAAAAATTCCTCTCAGCGGTTCTACCTTCATTTTTTTTATCATGGGAAATAGTAAAATGTGTTATTATATTATACGCTGGTTTTATAATTATAAAAGCATAAATCTGAGAGAACGTCAAAATTGGCTTACATTATGGTCCACCAATTCTAGAAAAAGAGGATCAAATACAGTTTTTTTTTTTCGATGAAATTTGGTGTACACTGCTCGTTTTTTGAATACCCTATTGTACACAACAGTTTCTTAACCTCAATTTCTTTTGTTAATCTTATATTTAATGTTGTATTCCATAGGATAACACTAAAACTGAAGAATCGGATGACTTTGATTTTTTTGGAAAAAGAGAAGAACCTAGAAGACCTTCAGACACTACTTCAAACCGACAGCAAACTAACAAGAAAAAATGGGATTGGAGCGAAATGGAGGTAAAGTAAAATTAATATAAAAATGTAGGTATTTGCACTTGAGCTAGCGTAACCTACTCGACAAGAAAAAGACTAATACTGAAAAAAAACTTTTCTGGCGTAGAATTTTATCCTGATTCCGAATATCATAATAGTTTCTCTGTGTCAGACCTAGTTTCCCAGATATCGGTGAAAATATGAAAAAACCCATAGTTGCGACACATTACATCACATACATATATATGCGCATCGAAAAGTTGTATTTGTCATCCTGTCGGTTTTATATCTGAGAGATACCTTACTTCTAAACTACACGTATAAGGGTTGTCACCTGTTTAAAAATCAAATACAATTTAATTTAGGGAATTAGGAAACTGAAATATGTATAACAAGATGGTATCAGGCAAAATGAAAGAATTGGCATATTTAGGAATAAATAATTACTTCACTTATTCGTGAAACTTTGAAGTTAATTTCAGAGTCCAATAATATAATAGGAATGTAATCAGAATAAATCACTCAATGCCAATGTATGTATATTGCATATTGTTTCGTTTGATACAAATTATATGTTATTTCAATTAAATTTGACTTAGCAATTCTCTTCAAAATATTTTCAATCTAAACCCTTCTTAAACTTCTTTCGTCTTACTCCTATATGTTGATACCTAACTATTTAAATTTTCTAGTTTTATTCAAATGGAATTTGACTTTTTAAACAGTTGGCAACCCTCCTATATGTAGTTAAGAAACAAACCCTTTTCATACGCATTTCGATTGATACCCATCTTTCAATAATTCATTTAACTTATTAAATAATTAATTTTTTAACAGGTGGCAACTCTTTTAAAAAAATAAACCCCTGTTGAACGTCTACAGATTAAGTTTTTTAATCTGACACCTCATTTGGAAAATTTTACGAATGGTGCCGATGTAATGGCCCTGACAAATAATTAAAAAAATGATTTTATGCATTCGCAAAAAAACATTACTTCGAAAAATGCAAAATATTAGCATATTTTAATCTTCTCTTTCGAAAGCTAAACAACCGTACTATTAAATAAACTTAAAAAAAAAAAAATTTTAAATATATTTTTTATCCGTTCCATTAAAACTTGCCATTTTTTGAAATTTTGATAAAAAAAAGGTTTTTCTGGAGTAACGTGTTTTTAAATTTATTCCAAAATTTTTATTCTTATAGTTCTTTGCTATATATATGGAAATGAAAAACGTCAAACCAACATTTTATGTCAAAGAATGTATTTTTGACATTTTTTATTTACATTTAAAATTCTTATGGTCTTATTCATAAAAAATAAAGAAGCTTTATAAACTGAAAAATGTATGAAAACGTCATTTTATAAAACTCTTTAAACCTACTTTATTTTTTATGAATAAGGCCATTAGTATAAATTTGTTGACTTTAGTGGATTTCTGACGGCATATAATTTATTTTTCTGTTTAATTCTTTTAGTGGATAGATTACAAAAATACCAAACACGTTCACATTGCAGACTACGAATATCTCGATATTTGCCCACTTAGTCGTCACTGTTTGACGGAAAAAATAAGTCAGTTTCAAAAATCAACATGTGTAAAAAGTAATTTTTAGCCAACTAATTTGTAATGAATTTTAAACAAATGCGGCATGAGTCAGTTTTGATTTCATATTCTATTTCGCCGTTCTTCGTTAACTTCGTTTCATTTAAGTAGTTGAATTAAAATTACAAGTAAACGAATTTAAAACGAGTAAAGAAGTCAAGTTTGGGCGAAGCCGAAAATTAAATACCGGGCTCATATATTAAATATATTTTTTTTTAACTCTCTGAAAACTACCCTTACATAAATTAGAAACTTATTTCCAAAGTTCGGCAATGCAAGGCTCGACTAAAATATGATGGTGAACATAACGAGGTTGTTTTACTCTGGGTGCCAGGTCACTCTGGAGTACCTCGTTATGAGACATCTGATCATTTGGCCAGAGTTTGCTCAGACCAGCCATTCCTCGGTCCGCAACCAGTTTTAGCACTCCCACCTTCGGCAATCGAAGCCACCATCAGAAACTGGGTGAATACTTCGCTCAGAAATTACTGAGAGGCATCGAGGTGGGCAAAACTCATGTTGCCTTCAATCTCACAAGGTCTAACTAATTTTTTGCTCTCAATGAGCAGACGACACTGCAGACAACTTGCTGGACTGCTGACTGGTCACTTCACGTGGCACAAACACCTGACTGTGATAGGCGTAAATGACAAGTCCATTTGCCCATCTAGCCTTGAAGAAGATGAGACGGTGGAACACTTTTTGTGCTTGTGCGGTTCGGCTATTTGTAAAATGATTTGGGTTCTTTTAGCATACACTTGAAATATGGACTTTTCCGTAAATTTTGGAGTGAGTTCTATGCAAAAATACTGTGGTGTAGCCGAAGTTGACTGATGAAAGTTTTTTGTAATACGATTGATATTAGGTTTTTATGTTATCGGTTTAAAATATTTTAAAATTCGAAGAGAAAGGACAAAGTTACTGAAAATCGCTAACCAAGCAAAACTAAAAAGTTTATATAAATAGCTTCGTCAACGCATTTTAAAATTATCCGATACTAGCCTAGCGATAGCATCGATAGTTTCAATGCAAACTATCGAAAACATTGAATGGGATGAATATCGATAGTTTTACAGCTCTAGCCTTAAAGAATGTGTAACAGTTTTCAAATTTAGCAACTGTTAGGCCTTACTTAAGGCGAGATTGTTGATTATCTTCCACTATTCATTTTCAGATCATACATTTAATCTGCACTTAAATGGCCAATATCGGCTATTTAAATATGAGATATGCAACCCAGTTTTTAAACCAGACAACCAGGATTGATTGGTAGGTTGTTTAATCAATCCCACCAAATCCCACCAAAAAACAATTAGCTGTTCAGCAGAAAATGTAAACAAACAAGCAAATGCAACAACAATTTCAAGGAACAAGCAGCAGTGCTGCCAATTGTTTGGCATATTTAAATAAAGTTGACCTGAAACCCAACGAAAGCTAAATGTCATTTAAACACAAATCCACAATTAAACTTAAAACCCATTTAAATATTAATTTGAAATTGGACCTTAGACTATAAAATCCTTACTTTTGACGACAAAACTCAGCCTTAGAAAGTTTTTACTTACTTACTTGCTTACTTTTTATTTCTATAACCAATTTGCCAAGCTCAGGAAGGAACACAGTAATTCCAAGCATTTTTCGTTTTATTAAGACCCGTTAAATAAGTTGCTCAATTTTAACGGGTTTTGTTAAACTTTTTGAAAGATTTTGTTGAAATTTATTTGTCGTGCGCGGCAACACTGGTCCGTTATCGGACGTTTCGTCGTGGAGGCTGAATTTTCCGACAGTGGCGCCAAAGATCCCTTCCTTGCCTTGGCATTAAAATCGCCGAGCACGATTCTGACATCGTGTCGGGGGCAGCGCTCATATGTACGTTGCAAGCGCTCATAGAAGAGATTCTTGGACGCCTCATCCTTCTCTTCCGTCGGGGCATGGGCGCAGATGAGCGAGATGTTGAAGAATCTAACTTTGATGCGGATTGTGGCTAGGCGTTCGTCCACCGAGGTGAACGCCAGTACTCGGCGACGGAGTATATCTCCTACCACGAATCCAACACCGAATTTGCGCTCCTTTACGTGGCCACTGTAGTAGACGTCGCAAGGTTTCACACTTACGTTTCCTTGCCTCGTCCATCACATTTCTTGGATGGCGGTGATCTCAGCCTTTGTCTTCTCGAGGACATCAACCAGCCGTGCAGAGGCACCTTCCCCATTAAGGGTCCGGATATTCCAGGTGCATACCCTCAATTCATAGTCATTTATACGTTTGCCGTGGTCGTCATAAAAAAAGGGGGTCTCATCCGAGGCTTGTTGAAATTTTTCATTGGGCGGGGTTTTAGCGTGGCGGGACCCAAACCCAGCGCACCCGAAGTTTTACGCCTTCTCACTTTAGCTCGCTCCCAACCGGGTGTTTGGTTGCTACCCAGAGTATACGTGGATATAAACATCCGGACGATGTGAGCTGCGATTTCAACCGTACGCACAAAAATCGCTTCTGGCCACTCCCAGATGAATAGCAGTAAAAAGTTTTCCACTTCTGCGCACGGAACCATCCTCCATCAGTTACTATCTACTGAAGCGAATTTATTCAAACTTAATGTTTGCATTAATTTCTTCTAATTTGCTAATTTCTTAGCAAAAAATACGTTTAAAATAAATTTTTGGAAAATGGGCGTTACAACGCCCACATACATACATATGTGTATCTCGGCAACCTTTCCATAAATTTGTACCAAACTGGGTATAATTATTTTACTTGCCACGGACTTAAATTACGCCCACTTTTCATATAACGGCATATTTCGGAAATACTGAAACTTCGATATTTCGAAATTTAAGGACCTAATTTACTCAAAGCTTATACTCACAACAATCCCTTGAAAAGAAGTAACATTATAATGGAATTTTGGAGAATGGGCGTGATACCGCCCACTTATAACTATATACAGATGCGTGCAACTGATTAGCAACGAAATTCAAAACGATATTGCTTGCAAATTATGTTTATTTATTTATTTTTAATAATTTTCATTTAAAATATAATTCAATCTATATCAGAAACCACAATAACAAAAGTTGCAAAGCTTGCACAAATTGCAAAAAAATTAATGAAACTTCAAAAAATTGTCATCAAAATTTCAAAATTTTTAATTAGACTATTTAGAAAATGTTGGGGTATGCAGTTTTGTAGCCCATTCAATTTTAGTATAATAAAGTGCAGGTTTCAAGTCGCTAAACATTACCGTTGATTTTTTAGAATTTTTTTTGTGGAGGGTGTTGCGTATTTTCTTCCATATAACACATGATCAAAATTTTTTTTTACATGGAAAAAAATCCGCGACACCCTCGACAAAAAAAATTCTAAAAAATCAACGGTAATTTTTAGCGACTTGAAACTTCCACTTTATTATACTAAAATTGAATGGGCTACAAAACTGCATACCCCAACATTTTCTATATATTCTAATTAAAAATTTTGAAATTTTGATGACGATTTTTTTAAGTTTGATTAATTTTTTTGCAATTTGTGCAAGCTTTGCAACTTTTGTTATTGTGGTTTCTGTTATAGATTGAATTATGTTTTAAATGAAAATTATTAAAAATAAATAAATAAACATAATTTGCAAGCAATATCGTTTTGAATTTCGTTGCTAATTAGTTGCACGCATCTGTATGTAAGTATCTCATTATGGTTTATTGTTTAATTTAACTACAGAAAATTCCATAGAAATTTACTTTAAAATAAATAAGTTAACGTCCCTAAGTCTAACTGAACGTACTATTGAAGATGTTTGAAATAGGGGTAAACCCACCCCTATTTACCATGTAGCGGTAGTTTCCGGAAATGTAAAACAACTATATTTAATACGTGCGCCGTGTAATTAATGTTCGGCTTCGCCGGAAGCTAGACTTTTTTGCTTGTTTTATTTTGTAATTACTTTGAGCCAATGGTTATGTCTGGAAAAAACATCGTTTGGAATAGTAAATATGGGTTACTCTTGGAATATTTCCACATCATAGAATTATTGTATATGTGTATGGTTGAACCCACCCAGCATTTTATGAAATTATTGATCATATACGAGTCTTTTTTCAGTCCTCTGCGCGATTAAAACAATCATAAATGTGCGCATATTCTGATCATAAAAGACTCTTTTGTCGGTAGAAAATGGTACACTGCCTGGGACTCTTCTTGACGAGCTGTTTATTATCCACTTCTGATCAGTTATGACTCTTTTTCGAGTCATATTTATAGTCATTTGTGCGTCTTATTCGAATGATATTTCAGCCGTATTTGTAAACATTTTCGAGTAGTTTTCGAGTCATTATTCAGTTCTTTATCCGATTGTTTTCGAGTCTTTTCCGAGTAATTTTCATGTCGTATTTGCTAACGATTGTTAGCCTTTTTAGAGTCATTTTTCATTCGTATTTCTAATTATTTTCGAGTTTTTTCCGATTCCTTTTCAGTCTATTTTCAAATCGTTTGCGCTGCGTAAAATTAAATACGTTATAAATTAATTTATAATTAGCAAGTCAGCTTATTTTATTGAGTTAAAAAGAAGCGTTAATGAAATATCGAAATTGTTTTTTGATGAAACTAATAATTACAGTTGAAAATATTTCAAAATTACCTTCAGTAAGGTGATTTTTATTAAAGTAGTCTTCCAAACGCTATGTGGGAAGGTTTAAGTAAAGTAGTCAAAATACACATATAAATGCTTGACAGCTGTATGTTTTTGAAATCAGCCGCCGTGCCAGATTCCCAGTATCTACTTTGATCAGTGTTATGATAGTCAGACCATGCGTGTGGAATTTTAGAACAAGAAATTTTGTATACCCTAATCTACATAATGGTTTCTTAACCTTGATTTATTTTGTTAACCTTGTGTTTTATGTCGTTATATTCCATAGGATAACACAAAAACTGAAGAGTGGGATGACTCTGAACTTCTAGAACAAAAATCAGAACCCAGAAGAGCCTCAGAAACTATCTCGAACCAACCGCACACTAACAAGAAAAAATGTGATTGGAACAAAACTGAGGTAAAATAATGTTGACATACAATGTTTAGTATTCGCATTTTAATGGTTACACTGGTATACAACAAAAATGTTCAATGGATGCCACTATCTAATCCCTATATAAGATTGCTCGCTGATTCCGAAAATCAAGTTAATTTTTAATTCTATGGATAAGTTTTCGAGATATTTTAAATGTACCGTTATTCAGCTTAAAACAAAAACTGGTTCCACTTAATCACGTATATCTTACAAACCAATTTAACAATCTTAATATGAAATACGGCAAGTGAAAGCTAATAAAATTCTCCATAAACCATATATGTATACATTACTTTCCGATAGGACTTATAGTTTCTGACAAATTAATTAATCATCCCAGTTTTTGTTTGCAATTTACCGTTATTCAGCTTAATACAAAAAGTGGTTCCGCTTAATCACGTATATCTTACCAACCAATTTAACAATCTTATGGGTCGATTACGGATAGCAACACAACCACGGTTCGGTCGCCAGCTGACAACGCAACTGGGAAGAAGATTTGTATTACGAATGGCAACTATCGTCAGTTGCTGTAGAGTTATCGATAATCGAAATTTGACAGTTCAACAACCAGCAAGCGGCTGTAAACAAGCTGTGCTAGTAAAATTAAATTATTAAAATAAAGAGCTTTAAAGAAAATACAGCAATAAAGCTAAATTCGTCACAATTATTTGTTTAGAAGAGAAATGCATTTTCTTCAGTAGTAACTTAATTTTTTTATAACAGAACAGGATTTAGCACAGATGCAAAAATTTTGCACAGAATCTGTTATTTTTTTAAATTTTCTTGTGTAAAAGTTAGATTTTTTTTAATTTTTTCATTCAAAATTAAAAAAACTCGAATGATTAATTAATTTGTCAGAAACTATAAGTCCTATCGGAAACTAATGTATGTATATATGGATTATGGAGAATTTCAGTAGTCTTCATTCGCCATATTTCATATTAAGATTGTTAAATTGGTTCGTAAGATGTACGTGATTAAGCGGTACCACTTTTTGTTTTAAGCTGAATGACTGTAAATTGCAAATATCTCGAAAATGTATCCATAAAAAACCAACTTAACTCGATTTTCGGAATCACGGAGCAATTCTACATAGAAATTGGATAGTGGCGTCTGGAGAACAAAAACCAAACTGAAATTTGTGATCCAGTGTTATTAGCTCACTTTAAACTTGCACTTGTTTATTAATTATGAAAAAAAACAAAAAAATCATAAAAATAAAACACAAAAAGTATGTCAGTTCGCACATTGACCCGCAAATTCCTATTCGGACCAAAAATGATATCGACAGGGCAGTTGAAAATCTCACTGATATAATAGTTAAGGCCGCAGAAATTGCAACACCAAATCCTTCTATTAAACATCGCAGTTCTTACTACCCTGGCCTGCACACCCCAAACACTCTTAACTTAATAAGTAAAAAGCGCAAATTAAGAATGGAATGGCAAAGAATTCGCTCTCCTAAGCTTAAACAGGAGCTAAGTGCGTGTACAAAGGAATACCGTATTTTGTCGCAAGCGGAAAAAGAAAGAAGTACCCAGTCGATACTTCAGACCTTGTCTGCTTCGAAACAGACTGACTACTCCCTTTGGCGAACACTGAAGCATGCGAAGAGGCCCGTTCTTCGAGAAGCACCATTACGTACTCAGAACCAGGGATGTTGCGAATGTGGAATTTTAGACATTCGCATTCGCATCTGCGGATGTCAAATACAGTGAAAGCTCCAATATGCAGATACCGATGGTCACCTTTTTTGCCCGCCTATGAGAGATGTCCGCTTATAGGAATTTCGTAAAAAATAAAATAAAAATTCATACTTAAAAAATTTAAATTGCGGGTTTCTAAATTAAAGTAATATTTATTCTTCAATAGACAGAAACAGGTTGAATTAAAAATCAATTCAAATTTATTGCGTTTTCTTTCCTACCGACAAATCTCATTGCCCATTGGCAACGAAGAGGCAACACTTTTTCTAAAAAAGAAAATATTTTTGAATATGGGCTATGTTCTTGTGTACATATACATATGTAGAAGCGCAAGAGACAACATTTGACTAAAAAACAAAACAAAATTGACCGCTTGTTAGAGCTTCGCATCCGCTTATGGGAGAGTTTTTTTCATAACTGGACATTTTTGAGTGTCCGCGTCCGTTTATCGGAAAGTCCATGTATGGGAGAGCATTTTGTATGGAAAAAAAACCAAAAATTGTTCGTTCCCAAGAATGTGTCCGCTTATTAGAGCGTCCGTCTATGTGACCTTTCACTGTATTTTAAGAAATATTTTTTGGTGAGTACGTTAGGTGATTTAGGTAAAAAGAAGGAAAATTTAGTAATTTTTAATATTTTTTTTATTTAGTACTTAAATTAAAAAATTGGAACATTGTATTTTCCTGCTTTTTCGGGTGACAGCCTGTTTCCTAACGGGTCGTAAATCAAACCTGCTCCATTAAATAACTACTCGCTCGAGGCGACAAACTTGAAACTTTACAAAATTGTAAATTCTTTTCGATTGGCGCTGAACCAGTTGAGAGGACTTCAGTTTGTTTTTTCCGCGGTTCAATAATTAGAGATTTGCATCGCTGTTTAAACACCGTTGTGTTCCAATTTGGAGAACCAATTCTTTTGGTTGCTTCAGAATTTGGAGAACCTGTTACGACATCAGCGTTTTTCGATTTTAGTTTTTGTTATTCATTTTTAATCCTGCCGTCTGTGACTGGTTTGAATAATGTGTGCTTATAGCGTCGCGACGTTGTGAATAGATGGATATGGCTAATAAATTGTTATTTTGTAGGAATGAGAATTTCGAAGAAAATTCTGTTTTGAAAGTCGTGGCTGCCAGCAGAATTTGTTTAAAATCTTGTTATTTTGTTAAAAAGGTACCCCGTTTTTTATAATAATTTCAATTATTGGAATCTCGGACGATAAAGGTCTCAGATTTGCTTAATTCCCGGGTGACCTCTTGGAAAGGTTCACCTGTAATGAACAGCTTGTAACTAGTTTTTTTTATTAGCTAGCTGAGCTTGGCTTTTCCTAGTTTCAGGCAGTCACAATTAATTACTCACCGCTGTCGGTACCATGAGCCATCAAATCCGTTTTGTTGTTCCATTCCATGCGCTCAATGTGTTTTGATATATTTTTTGGGGCCCTTGCACAATATTCGCATTCGCAAAAGCTCCGCATTGATTATTGCGAATGCGAAAGCGAATGCGAATGTTAAAATTTATGCGGAAGTTCCGCGGTTGCGAATGCGAATGCGAATATTCGCAACAACCCTGCTGAGAACGGAAGCTGGGCGAGGAATGATGATCTTTCACAAGTCTTTAGACCCAATGAAGGCTCTCATCCTTCCGCTTCGGGCTAAAAAGAAAGATTTAATTAACACCATTGTTAATGATATGATAGGTTTACAGGTGAAATGATAAAGGAGCTTCACTAAACTGCCGTACATTTTTTGTTACATATTTTTAATAACATGCTTAAGTTGAGGCATTTCCCTGACTTATGGAAACTTTCGGAAATAATTATGGTGCCAAAGCCAGGCAAAGATCCGACGGTAGTAAGTTCATATCGGCCGATTAGCTTGATTTCTGTATTTTGCAAAATATTTGAAAAACTTCTATTAAAAAAATAATACCACCACATCAGTTTGGTTTTCGTGAAAAACATGGCACTGTAGAACAAGTTTATGGAATTTTTTCTTGTATTAGAAAGGCCTTCGAAGGGAAGCAATACTCCACCGGTGTATTTCTGGACATCTCTCAAGCTTTTGACAAAGTCTGGCATGATGGCCTTATATACAAACTAAAGGTTTCACTCCCTGCAAATACGCATGCAATTCTGGAAAGCTTTCTGCTGGGGAGAAACTTCAGAGTCAGGCTGAATTCCTTTAGAACGGATAGTCACCCAATATATGCAGGCAGTGTTCTAGGACCCATATTGTAAGTAATATACACTCGTGATTTGCCAACTGATGATAGTCTAACTATTTCAACGTTTGCTGATGACACAGTTATCATAAGCAATAGTTCAGACCCTAAAAAGGCTTCTTACAAACTGCAAGAATATTTGAAAAAGTTAGATCTATGGCTAGGTTCTTGGAGGATAAAGGTTAACGAAAGCAAGTGTGTTCAGACAACATTTACGTTGAAGAATGAAACTTGCCCACGACTAAAAATAAACAGCAAGGCTATACCACAAAAAGATAGTGTCAAATACTTTGGGATGACACTAGATAGAAGACTTACCAGGAAAAAGCATATAGAAAACAAAATGGGTTATATTAATGGGTTATAGGACACAAATCTTAATTAATACGATGTTTCCACGATTTGTAATTCGCTCTCTAAGTAATTCGTGAATTACCCTGTTTCCACGACACACATTAGTAATTCGTTTGGCATCTCTAGTTCTTGTTCTTGTTCTTCGCTATTTATCATTATTTTTGTGTACTGCAAATATCGAAGATGGAGCTACAATTTAAGTTATCATCAACAATTTTAATTTATATAGAGAATATTTCATTAATATTATTCTATAACTAGAAAAAGTGCCAGCAAATGGGACCAGGTCGGTGAAAACTTCGATATATTTCCGATAAATATTAGAGAAGGCACCGATTCGTTCGTCATTCGCATGGTAATTCGATCTGAATTATCTACAAATGAGGTAATTCGCTCTAAAAATTTTGTATGACGAATTACGTAATTCGGAAGGTAATTGGCAAGGCGAATGACGAGTGGGAGAGCGAATTACGAATGAGAGAGTGAATTACGAATCGTGGAAACGCCGTATAAGCCTAGATAACAAGATGTTGCTTTTTAATATGATGATTAAGCCATGTTGCGCATATGGAATCGGGCTTTGGGTACAGCGTGCAATTCCATTTTGAACAGACTTCAAAGCTTGCAGTCAAAAATTTTACGCGCCATATGCGGAGCACCGTGGTAAATAAAAAATACGAATATCCACAAAGATCTTATTGTAAATACGGTGCATGAGGACATAAGAGGGCTAAGCACCAATTACTCAGCACGGTCCTTTCGGACCGACTACCCAACATCAGTGTCAGTGCGGGTCGGAAACTTGTCCTTTCCGACCGAACACAGCCTACTGGATTGTAATTACTTAAATATAGAGAAGCGAAGGCGCGGCGTGGAAACTAGTCCATTCCACCCGCCCAGGCAGTGCGGCTATGGAACTCGTCCTTTCAGACCGCCTGCCCAGCATGATATCCGGCGATCCTGCTGCTCGGAATCTTGTCCATTCCGACAGCCGCAACAGCTGTAATAAATATATATGTATGAAAAAATAAAAAATTTCTATGCATTGCCGCAGAACTTTTTAATTTAATGGTAGTAATTGTAAGATTTGAAAACTTATTGTTAGTTTCGAAAGAAAGATTCAATAAATAAATACATATTATACAAAGAAAAAAAAAAACACCTAACGGAAGCCGTCGTGCGCCGCTATTGTGTTTACTGTGACAGATTTCAGTGCGGCAACTGTTCAGATGTTCACTTACCGCCGACCGCTTTACCGTCGTCCGCTGTAATTCTGGGTAGAGCTTTATGTACATATCAGTTACCGTCAAACTTCGATCGTAGGACAAACTGGTTTTGCCTTGGCTAAACTAGTTCCATCTACATCCGATACATCCAACGCGGAAACAAGTTAGACTGAACAATACTGTGGACGGCGTAGTGAGTCGAGAAAACTTCTAAACCGGGCCCTCAAAACTAATTTTCAGATGGACTGGGAACGCTATCGCTGCACACAAAGAGGGCCTCTTTTAAAGAATACTGCAGCGGGATTGAAACGGCTAAATGTTCTGAAGAAGCACCAAACCACAAAGCTGGGTTCACTCAAGAGGCCTGATGGTTCTTTAACAGAGACTAGGATTGAGACTCTCTCTGTTCTTCCAGAGATTCACTTTTTCGGGAAATCAAGTGATAGTTACGCCTTCCTCTCCCTCGCCTGGAGAGGGAGCGAATGCGAGAATCACTGTGTCAAGGTACAACTGTTTTGGCGCCACAACTGTGGCGAATGAAGATGCTATAAAATATGCTATTGAGTCTTTTAGCAGTCTCAAATCGCCCGGGCTGAATGGCATCCTACCTATTGTACTTAAAGAAGATGTTGGGCTTATGTTGGCGATCTTGAAAAAGATTTTTACAGCATCGCTTGCACTTGCCTACATACCGCAACCGTGGAGGCTGGTTTATGTCACCTTTATACTTACCTAAGGTTGGTAAGGATGACTGCACGAGCCCCAGAAGCTAGAAGCCTATTAGCATAACATCCTTCATGCTAAAATGTCTGGAAAGATTGGTAGAGTTGCGCATTCGTAGGGCGGCGCTCTCATAATATCGTCTGTCTTTGCATCAACATGCCTATCAGGCGGGGAAATCCTGTGGGACAATTTGGTTCCCAGAATTAGCAATGACATCAATAGGAAATAATTGGCCTTGGGAATTTTTTTTGACGCTGAGGGTATTTTTAAAAATGCAACCCTCGATAGCATGTGCGATTCTGCTCTACACGGCATGGAGTAGATTCTGTACTGGTAAATTACATTCGTTCAATGCTGGCGCAGCGGTCATCAGAATTCAAACAGAAGGTGGGCACTATGTCACGTGCGGAGTTAACAAGGGCTGCACTCAGGGGCAGTATTTATAAAATTCTATTTATAGGGAATATGCAAAATATATACAAAAATATACAACAGTAACTGGTATGCTAAAACTATGAAAACGTGCAAAATATGTTAAGATGTGCAAAACATAAGATATGTATAGTAACAAATAGTCAGTACTAATTTTTACTGGAATCTGCAATTTTTACTGGAAAAGTGTATAATAACCCAAAAAATTTGCAAGAGAGCACTGAATCGAGAGCTTAATAACACGGGAGAGCTGCAAATTATTGCTAGTGAAATTTTTACTAGCAGAAATTAGCTAGCGGATTGCCAATTTGTTGAATTGGTTAAGCATAAACAAAAGTAAAATTAATGGAAATCAAAATGTTAATGATGTACTGGACTGTGTAAGTGCTTGTGTGTAAAGCAAAGAGTTTAAAACTGATTTATAAATAATAAAATATTTACAGGGGAACGTCAAAACAGTGCAAAAACTTTTCACTTTTCTTCTCAATTTCACGCACTATTTTGCTTTTACGCTCTCGCTGCAATTTTTTACTGGAGAAGTTACTATACAAACCTATAATAGGACCAAATTAACTCACTTTCTCCAATAATGAGTTTCTACCCGGGTCCAGACTTTCTGTAATGTTAAACAAAAATATGCACTTACATAAGTATCTGAGCTCTAGTTATTAGTGTGAAGCACGGCCGAAGTCCGCTTTCGTGGAAAGGCATTCTGCGAAAAAATACTGTGGTATGACCTAGTTTAGCCTAACCAAAACTAGTTTGTCCTAAGATCAGGTTTGGCCGGTATCATATCGCATGTTTAATAATATACAGAATTATTTAAAAATTTCAATTTTGTGGGAAAACGCAATCAAAGTTTGATCAGTTCATACAATTGGTGTACCAAAAGAAAGATGGGAAGAAACATATCTTCGCCATTTTTGGGAAGTTGAGTCATCTGTTATATTATAATTATAAAATCAGCTACTTTATTTTGAATATTCTTTTTCTTATAAATTTAATTTTCATCTTTGGCATATTCTAAACACATACTATAAGGATTGACTATATGACCATTTCAGAAAAGTGAAATGGACATAATTTGATATTTGACATTGTGACCATATCAAACAGACATACTGCCCATTATGGTCCCTTTAAGTGGTCACAATGTCAATTGACCTTATGGCCATGGGCCTTATATCACCCCATCGTATATTTATATTACCGGATATCTTCGTATTTTGCAGCAAAGCAACAATAATAAAAACTATGAAGACTCTGATCTGGAAGACGATTATACTGAAGGCCCCTCAAAAGGTGGTACTCAGGTGAGTTCCTTTTTGAGTTTTATTCCATGTTTAATCAAAAGCATATACATATCGTTACCTTAATTCATGAAGGCCCTAACCTACACTTTTTTAACCGACTTCCAAAAAAGGAGGAGGTTATCAGTTCGTCGGAATATTTTTTTTTTTTTTTATGTATGTATGTTACCGCATAACTTTGGACCACGTCAACCGATTTCGATAATTCTCTTTGCATCGGATAGGTAGTGTCTCAGAGGTGGTCCCATACTAATCTGGTATAGATCCGATCATTGATATAGATATATATATATATATATATATATATATATATGTATATTTATATATGAGAATTGAAGTCGTTTTTTTGCTAAAAATTACTTGTTCGAAAGTGCGGTTTTCGCAGATTTTGGTAGGATATATGTGTTAAAATACACCTTCAATAAACATTTTAAAGTCCTAATAACAAAAGCATCTTAGATACATGTCACTTTTCAAAAAGTCTTACCTGTTTTTGATATTCTTTTTATGTTGTTGTTGTAGCAGCATACAAGTTCCCCAAAGAGTTTTTGGGGAGTGTTGCTGGAGTGACAGTCCTTGGCCAAATATAAATCTGGGTCGTTCCGGTTACGTAGACCCGACCCGACTGTCGTGGGAACGATATTCTTTTTATAGTGTTTTTTGCTTCTCGTGTAAAATTTAAAATTTGTTGGTTAGGGCATTTGTTAATTAAGGTAATATAACGTTCTCATTGAACCATTAACTTGAGTTTATGGGCCATTTTTGGAGTTTAACGCTAAACTCTACTCTTAAACTCGGAGCTTACCATACAAAAAATTTCGTTAAACTCTCCGTAAGCACCACTTTTATTTGGAGTTTATGGACATGCAACCCTTTTTTTTTAATAATCTTGGCTGCACTGTTGAAAAATTTGGCCTCACTGTTGAAAAATTTTGCCTCACTGTTGAATGTTTTGACAATTCACAGTTTGACAATTAAAATTTTACAATTTAATGAAAATTTAAAACTAGTGCGCGGGTACAATAAAAATGGAAACGCCAGTCCAGCAACGCAGAAAGAGGAGCTTTTGGAATAGTAGGGCAGAAGCTTGCTTTGTGGAATTGTGGGGGGAAAAGGTAGATGAGTTGCGCGGTGCTCGCAAAAATACGCACGTCTACCAAGAAATGTCCTCCGAGCTAGCAAAGCAAGGGTGTTTCCTATCTGCCCAAGATGTGAAGTACAAGATAGCCAACCTAACTGCTAAATACAGGTACTATGTCAATATCTTTTAAAATTATGATTTACTTAAAAAATCTTTCCTTCAGAAAATGCAAGGAGGCGATTGCACCCTCAGGAGGGTCACCGGCGTCGTGGAATTTGTACGAGGCTGTTCATAAAGTGATTGGGGCTCAAAGTATCAACAACGTCAATATGTGTGCGAAAGAGAGCATTGAATGTAAGTATTGTACCATTTCTCTGTTCCTTTACTCGTCCGCAGTGGCGTAGCCTGAAGGGGGATTGGTATGACTGAATAGTATTTATGATCTTTATGAAGACAAACCCTACTTCGAAAAGAGAATGCGCAATTTCTCTAAAAATTAAAATTTTAGAAGTGTATAAATTTGCTTGTCGCTGATTCTGAATGAGAAAAATTTATAAAAAAAAGCGTGTGTAACACCGTACACATGATAGAAGTGAAACTTCTTAAAAAAGGTGTGAGTACCAGGTACCTACTCACGAAATTTTGTGTGTAAACATATGTTTACGGTTCGGCAAACCATTAGGCGATTGAGTTACATACATAGGTTTGGTTAGAAATCAAAACAATAATTTCATTTCATCTTCATTTTCCGGTAACACCACCTTATACATATGAATTCGCGCTTCTAGCATCCATAGGAACGGGTTGTAATGGAAGTAATTGTATGTTTAACAAATAAATGAAAATGTTTGTAATGCAATCAATAGATCCTTACGAATTTGCCATTACGAAGGCACTAAGTAACGTACGCACTTTAGCACGTACCTATTTCGGCTGAGTCATCCATTTTCGGTTATTTAGTGTACAAAATAAACGCAATTTAAATGAGTTTGTACAACATGGCCATTAATGTAGCGATAATTTGTACAACTTGCCAGAAAATCCAATTTTTTGTTCTTTCATGCAACCAAGACATAAATTCATTCAACAGGCCCACAAACGGTGCAACATAGAGCAAAAAAACACCAAGTTGAACCAACGGTCGCTACGTTTATGGCTTTCTTTAAGAAACATCGGGCGAAAATTTCAACTGCTCCTGTAACACTACCTTATATAAGTTGGCCTTGCTATCATCCTCACATATGTTCATCAGAGTATACCAACGAAGGACGAGTTAATACAAGGACATAGCAAGAGCACAAAACTACTCTAGAAAATTACACGCACAATGACAGACATGAACAAATGTACAACCAACACATAATTTTTGACAATCAGTACAGTTCGCATTTATATCAACGAGCAGCTTATTCGATTTTTTTCGTTTGTACTACATATGTGCATATATACATGTACACAAATATATGTAGATACATACAAATATATATTTAACCATTCAAACATATGTACATACATGAAAACATTGCTGTGCATAAGTACATACATATGCCCATCAGTACATCAACGAAGCCCGTTTGCTTCATCATAAATATATCCATACAAACATATGTACACATGTACGAATGAATGTAGTTACGCGAAGCACGCTTGCACCATTTATACATTTATTGCTTGGTATCGTTCATACATACATATATATGTATACATACATACGTGCATTCAAACATACATATACACATATGTAGGTACTCGTCGCTTTATTTCTTTTTTCCCCTTCCCAATACTACCTATATCTTCCTTCTCACTCATGTAACGTTTTCAGTTTTAAAAATTTCACTCTCCATTTTTGCGATACCGCCGCCTAAGAAGTTTCACTTCAAAAATCTAAAAGCTTAAATTTGTAGAAGATTTGTTCTAATCATGAAATAGAAAAGAAAACAGCAAAATTTTTAGTCACATTTTATAGAATTTTTTGGGTATGCAGTTTTATAGCCCATTAAATTTTAATAGAATATAGTGCAAGTTTGAAGTTCCTAAAAAATCGCGTTGATTTTTGATAATTTTTATTCTCTATGTATTACGCACTTCTTTCCATACAAAAAACAATTGTCTAACATACTTTTTATGGAAGAAAATGCGTTAAAAAAAATGTCAAATAATCAACGCAATTTTTTAGCAACTTAAAACTTCATTCTAGTTGAAAATTTTGGTGCAAATTTGCAGAATTTTATTAATTTTTGAAATATGAATTTATATGTTTTTTGTTAGATAATGGGCTATACTTTTATAAAAAAATAATAAATATTAAATAACCAAAGGCGAATAGGGAAAATTTGATAAAATGTCGTGTCCCTATTTATTTTTCCACCACTGTATTTATGAAAAATTACAAACAGGCGACTCCTCTTTGAGGGTCTCACCTTTAAGCTATCGCTGAAGTTTTTTTTCACCCCCCCCCTTCGCACAATCCTGGCTACGTGACTGCTCGTCCGGCTTACAAGATTTAGTCAGAAGTCGTTCCAGGTACGGTTTAGTTATTAGTACAACGATTTTGGGTTGCTGTGCCCAAACGCGTGACCCGAATAAAAAAATGTTACTATATTTGTGCATTAATTTATTATTAATTTTGGTTTGAAATATAGTATTTTTTTACTTTTCATAAAGTGTGGTCCATCCTCTGTCTTTTAGGGGGTTTAGGGGGCCACACCCCCTCCTCCTCTGCCCCCACCCCAAAATCGTTGTACAAATTCCCAAACATTTAACGTCATTCCCATACGTTTACAATGTCTTCAATAATATCTTCCGAAACAAATCAGTCCATTTCTGACTAATTTCTGTGAAGCGGGCGAGTAAAGGAACGTACTAGATATTATTTTATGTACATAGTTCCATAACACTTAATTTCTTTTTCTTTATTTGATTTCACTTTTATTACTATGTTTTAGGCAATTCACAGGAAACAAATGAATTCGCACCGTTGGGGGTGTCAGTGCCATCACCTCCGTCATGGACTGAAGAATTTGCGTCAGCCTCTCCCCTATCCTCCACTGAGCTGGCGTGGCCCTCGCCGCATTCGGAACGTGCATCGTCTTCCAATGTGCACGCTACAAGAAAAGTAAGTGAAAAGTTAGTGACAATGTATGAGGAGTTCGGCAAGGTTTTTAAGCAAGCAGTTCATGAGTACTTGGCAGTTAACGGAAAAATTGCTAAAGTAGAAGAGGGAAAATTTGAGGTTTTAAAAGAAATGAGGGATGACAATAAAAAACTTACCCAAGGTGTTTAGGATTTTTAAGTCGTCAAAATTAATAAAATTAATATTGATTCAAATCCGGAAACCGAAGTTGAGTAAAATGAGTACATTACCAATTTACAAATTTTTTAAACTTTTTTGGAATTTTTTTGAATATGCAGTTTTATAGCCCATTAAATTTTAGTATAATAAAGTGGAAGTTTTAAGAGATTGCAAAACAGCCGTTAATTTTTTTTTAAATTTTCTTTGAAAACGGTTTTAGGCATTTTCATCGATAAGGAACAAGTGCAAGAAGCCGTGAGCATAAACAATTGGGCAATTCACAAGGTGTTGTGAAGTTATATTTTCCTAACAAAAGTTGTGTTAAAACACGACGGTTGTGAACACCTGTTACGATTATTTATTATATCTCAGCACTTAACCTCACATAACACCGAATAAACATAGGTTGCAGAGTTGTATCGTCATGTGTTATTTTTCTTCACAAAACAATAACAACATTTTTACAACTGTCATGAAATATCATGACTTCACGACAAATACGACACCTTGTGAATCAACGCAATTTTGCAGTAGCTTAACACTTGCACTTTATTATACTCAAATTTAATGGGCTACAAAATTGCATACTCAAAAAAATTCTAAACAAAATTTTATTTTTTTTTTAATTGTAATGTACTCATTTTACTCAACTTCGGTGTAAAAAAAATTCATAACTCAAATTATTGTAGAGTGCACCCCATAACATTATACTTAAATATTGCGCAATACTCAGAGTTACCATTGTGATTTTTTCCAATTTTTTTTGAGATGGCATATTTTCAAAAACTAATTTTTTTATCAAAAAATTTGTATGTGGAAAATTTTTCAAGAGAAAAATTAAAAACTATTTTTTTTCGTAGGGAATTTTGATGTGTGTATGTGTGATTTTATCGATAAAAACGTTTTAATTGCGTATGCATGTTCACTTTGAGCAAATTGTGAGCACTGGTTGGGGAAATCTTCGGTATATTGGGCAAATCTCTAATTGGGCCCCAATTGGGCCAAAATTAGAGCCCAATTGGAAAAAACTTTTGGCTCTGATCGGGCAACCTCAAAAAAATTCCAGCAAGGAAACTTTATCATAATGGGCAACAATTTTTGCGTCCTCAACTGGCACGAAAATGCATATAAGTGCATTTTCAGAAAAAAAATCATAACTCGAAAACGACGAATTTTAGCATATTGCTACTCGTACTGAAAATAGTTTATACTATTCCCTAATAGACAAAAAAGTGTCAGAGAAAAAAAAGATGTGGCAATTTGAAAAAAATCAATTTGAAGAAAAAAAAAATTTTTTTGTTAATAAACAATAATTAATTATTTATAAACAATTACTGATGTTTAGTTCACTAGATCGATTCAGTAGATCAATATCTGCAATTTAAAAAATCGTTAAAATCCTTGCTTTTTTGCGGCAGTTATAAGCGATTTCATCAAAAGTTGCTATTAAGAGAGGAAAAAAGAAGCGTTCGTACTCAAAAAGGAAAAAATTCATTATTCGAAAAATTCGCATTTCTGAGCAAAAAGAAAAAATACGTGTCTCCTTAAATTGTTCAAGGAACAATCCCTGTGAGTTTTATCGCAAACTTAAATTCACTTTCCGCCGGCCTGGGTGATTTGAGATGGAATGAGCCATATATAAATTAAATATATCTCTTTCATATCACATATCTTCATTTGTTAATATAAAAAGAAAGAAGATTTCAATGTAGTTTAAAATACACTGTTTAAAAAACTAAATTTGATTTATTTAAGGAAATTTTTATGAATTTTACTGAAAAGACTCTACATACAAAGACTCTACATGAATACACTCTAATTTTTTTTTGTTTATTTGCGCATATTAAGAAAGGTAACCACTTTCCTCTTTTAATGTGTGCAAATTTGCACACCGTGTAATAAAATTAAACACTGCCTGTTTACTTTAACATACCAAATTTGTCGCAGAGCGCAAAATAACACATAAAATGTTTAAAATAGAGTAAATGTAAGCCCCTAATCTTTATTATTTGTAGGAAATGTATTTTTAGTTTAAAAATTTTTGCAACTTCAAACATTTCATGTGTATATTTATGTGTATATTGTAAAGATCACAAGTTCAAAATCGAATCCTGAACATCTTATACGTATGTATATTTATACAGATTCCTGTTGAAAAATATATATTTTTCAGTAGTAGTTTTACACACACTTTTCATAGTGTACAGGTACAAATGTAACATATTAATTACTATTTTTTATACTTACTTTGCAAAATACTTATGTATAAAAGATGTAATTTATAAATTGAAATTACAAATGTTTGATTTTATGAAATATAAAAATATATATACACGTATTCCAAGTCCTTAGGATGGGTTAAATTATGTCTTTTTCTTCAAAATGTTCGGTTTTCTTACAAATTATGAGATGGATACGTAAAAAAAGAAAATTGGATATATTTGGATACATTTTTGGCTTGGTCGGTGATACATTTTCTTGGGACGGCGCGGCAACACTGGTCCGCAACGTAAATATATGCATACATATGAAGGGTTAGTTAATGGTCTCGCCTAATAGTTAAAGAACTACAATATAATTGTTTGGATGCCGCAATACCAACATGTACATATAAGGGGTTAGTTAATGGACTTTAAACATACGATTCACAAGGGAAATGCATTTTGCTACCCCATATAAATTTACAGCCCAGCGAATCAAACTTCCCTATGTATTTAAACGCCGCCCATTCAAAATTATTGTAGCGTTCGCAATAACAATCCAGATTGTTTTTTTTTTAAAGCGCAATTTCTGAAAAAAATCGCTAAAAATCGAACTTTTTTTAAAATAAAATTCATGAAATCGATTCAACAAATGTTTTATTTTAAAACTGAGATCTTGTTATAATACAGTTTTTAAAACCAAAAACGAATATAATACTTCCAGAGGGTAATAATAAATAACACAAATCACTTATACAATAGTGATGTACAAACAATTTTCTTTAAAAATATGCATACTTTTTAAAAATATTTGTTTCAACACATTTTGCAATAGGACTGCGCAATTACTAAATTTATTATAGCTCATATTAATTGATTAATAGCATAATCTGTTTTTATGAGCTCGGTGCTAAAAATAAAATACAAACCTATAATAAGGCGAGATCAGCTATTTCCACAATTTCTTCAAAATCACCTATAGTGTCTGAATCATTTACATTTCTGTTGTTTGATATTGGAAACGTTTTGCAGCAGAAACTATTAGCCTTCATATAGCACTTTATTCGAACTGTTGAATTAAGGCTTTCCAATCTCATCCTATTTCGAATCTTAGTTTTTGTTGAATTCATTACGGAAAAAACGCGCTCATCAAAGCATGTGAGTGCGGCAAGGATAATAATATGAATTTACTTATATTTCCAAACATTTTATTGCCTGTTGCGGTTTTCACTCCGTAAGCAATTATCCAAAATTCTTCAGAGTCGGATGGAATGGTTCCGAGAAAAGTTATTCCATGGGAAAGTTAAAAGATTTAAATATTCAGTTTCCGCTCTTTTATTTCCTTCAAAGTCAAATAGTGAATTGGCAGGTCCCTGAAACTCGCCCTCTTGTGATTCCCACACTTTTCTGGAGACAAAATAAAAGCTTTTTTAAAAGTATTTAATTGACTAGGTAATCGTTTCAAAAGTTCTTTGATTACGGTGATTAAACGTTTTTGACAGTTTTTATATATGCTTCTTATGTCAAGTTTATCACGCAGTTCATTAGCTTCTTCTGTAAAATTATCGAGGAAAACTAAGTTTTGTATATTTTGTTATAATTGGGATAAATTTATTTGAAGGGAAAAAATCGCCAATAGCGATTTCCAAAATTTTTACGGGCAAATATCAAAAAAAAAAACATCGCCAAATCTGGACACTCTGACTATACTTCTCTTCACAATCCGCACTCTCAGTGAGAGGAAGACAAGGAAGCGTATTCGTTAGAAAACTGCACTGTGAAGCTAAGTCTTCCGATGCAGACCTCTAGTTCATAGGCATGTATATATTTATATTGCTCATACAATTTTAATACAAAAAACATTCAAAACATTAAAGCCTTTAACCGTTAATCTATCATTGGAACAAAAATTTTGCATATGTATTTTCTTTTCTCCTTGGCTTTTTTGTCATGAAGATTGAATTCCAGTGTTTATCTTATTTGTAACTCCTTCAGTTTTTAGCCAAATTCATTGCAAAGCTTTGTTGTAATTTCAAATTTACTAATTCTGTCCTATGGTAAAAAAAAAAATTACCGTTGCTATGCATTGGCTAGTAAGATGTTTTTAGGTTGCACCTTAAGATAAAAAAAAGAAAGAAATAATTCGGATTGAAATGTACATATGGAACAAAAATGTTCCAACGGGTGGAATTTCTAACTTTTTTAGGAGCAAGGCTGGATTTTAACATCTTTTAGACTCTATATATCGTCGTTTAAAGTACAAAACCGCGTATCTAGATAATGCAAAACCGCTATGTGAATTTGCATAAATTATTTTCTAGAGAGTAAAAACCCTCATATTTCAAACCGGTTCCCTTTCTTATAAAGCAATCGCATTTCTGGCTAGTATATTTCAGGACGAATGGATAAGGGTTGCGCCAAGAGCTTGTGTGAGCAAATCCAATTTTTGGCAGGCAATGTCAGTTACGCGGTTTTGCAGAATGACGATACGCGGCTTTGTACTTTAAACGACGATATGGTTATGGTGATCAGGCCGATTGCACCGCGACCAGATTTGATCTATTTTGCCCCCTGTTTCAACTCAAGTTGTTCAGTTTACACAAGACTTGTATTAACCCTTGC